TTTGAGGATTGCGGCTATACTGGAGATATAATATGTCCTTGGCACATACCTGCAGGAGCTCTAGGGGGCTGCGATTTGGAGAGCAGGACCTTGGGCCTAGGAGCACTTAAACCTGTCCTGCTTTGGTGGTTTTTCTTTCCCTCATCAAAAGTCTCAGCAGCTGGTAACAAGATCCCCATAGCAGTGTGTCGTGGTTTAACCCCAGCCAGCAACTAAGCACGACGCAGCTGCTCGCCCACTTCCCCCTGCTCTGGTGCGATGGGGGAGAGAATCAGGAGAGTAAGAGTGAGAAAACTCCTGGGCTGAGATAAGAACAATTTAATATTTGAAACAAAATATAATAATAATAAATTGTAATGAAAAACAAAACGAGAGAAAGAAACAAAACCCAGGAAAACCAAGTGATGCAACTGCTCACCACCCACCAACCAATGCCCAGCCCATCCCTGAGCAATGGTTCTTTGCCCCCCTCCAGCCAACTCCCCCCAGTTTCTATACTGAGTGTGACACCATATGGTATGGAATAGCCCTTTGGTCAGTTTGGGGCAGCTGTCCTGGCTGTGTCCCCTCCCAGCTTCTTGTGCACCTGGCAGAGCATGGGAAGCTGAAAAGTCCTTGACTAGTGTCAGCACTACTTAGCAACAACTAAAACATCGGTGTGTTATCAACATCCTTCTCATCCTAAATCCAAAACACAGCACTATGCCTGCTACTAGGAAGAAAATTAACTCTACCCCAGCTGAAACCAGGACACAGTGACAAGTGTCAGTCAGAAGGATCTTCTCAACCTGCTGGGCCACAGTGTAACTGTGCTGTGGAACAGGACCCCACCAGTGCTTTGCAAGTGTATGCCCAGTGCACCATGCAGCTAGAAATCTCTTAGCCTCGTAGTCATCGGTGGATTTCTCTGCATTTAAATTTGCTTGGGATCCTGGTATTGTGTGATTGCTGCTGGTGCCGTGCTGCAAAGGCTGGTGATACCAGGATGCTGCCTGGGTATGGAGCATGGCATCTGCCATGTGTGGTGTCTTCCCCTGTAATAATAATGTGAAGACCATTTTTAGTGGGGGATCAGAGGAATGAGCGGGAGTAAGTTTGGAATTTGTTTCCTTGCTGTTTGACTTTCATAGTAGAGCAGTGTGCCAGGTTCCCCTGAAAGGCATTTGGTTTTGCGCAAAGTGCTGTCCTCTCCACATGAGAGCAAGGAAGCCTGAAACCCCCGCCATCACCACTGCCCACCACAAAGGTTTTGGCTTCCTGCAGAGCAGCAGTTCCCACCCAGACTGTGATCCACATGTCACCTTTGAAGTGATAATATGTGGTGATATGCACGTGTTTGTTCACTCCTTTGTCCATTGTGGTATCTGTGAGAGAATTTAAGGGCTTGACCCCTGGATCCAAACATTTTAGGAACTGCTGCTGTAAAAATACCCGCCTCCAGCAGCTCAGGTGTATGGTGCATGCTCTTTGGGAGCTCTTCTGGTAGAAGGCTGGATGTGTTTGAATGTCCCAAACTTAGGCAGTTTCTAAACTGCCTTCTCCCCCCCACCTCCTTCTGAGTGGCCTGTCATCAGTATAGAGTCCCACTTTAACAGTTCCTCAGTTTCTGTTGCTGCTCACACTTTTGCTCCAGAAATTCCTGACTTCCTGACAGAGGAGGAGTGCAAGCTCATCGTCCATCTGGCACAGCTGAAGGGGCTGCAGAAGAGCCAGATCTTGCCAACGGATGACTATGAGGAAGCCATGGAAATGATAGAAATCAGCCAGATGGACATTTTCAATCTGCTGGACCACAATCAGGATGGGCAGCTGCAGCTCAAAGAGGTAGAGTGCCGGACAGACCAGGGGAGGTTTGCTGGGGGACCCTCTGGCATGTCCTCTCCTCAGGTGGTCTTGTGATTACTCTTGTGCTTGAGTAGGACCAGACCCCGGTATATATTCATCAGTATTTGTTTAATTTCACGTCTCAAGACTTGTGCTGGCCTTCAGCGTGGAAGTTTCTGGGGAAATGTGGAGCAGTTGTGATGCTGTTGGGAGGTAGCAACGGTCCTTGGCAGGAGATGTGTGTTTTGAATATGCTGGGTAAAATGTTCCTTGTGCTGTGGGTTTCCTCTTGCTGGGTGTCCCAGGGAAGTGAGTTTGTAGTGTAGGCACTGCTTTGCGCAGCCTGTGGGGACTGACTGCGCTGAATTGACCAGACATCAGCAAAGCCACCCCTGTTAATGACCTTGGAGGGGGACAATGAGCACCTTGCCCTGTATGGCAGGGTGCATCAGGGCAGGCGCTGGCAGTTCAAGGATGTCCCTCCCCAGGCTCCTGTTTCAGGTGGGGCTGGGGGTGTGTGCTGTCCCATGGGCAGCACATGTTTTGGAGCATGGGGAACTGTGCCAGTGACAACCCAGGGCAAGGCTCCCTTCTCTGGAGGTCAGAGCATGCTGAGAGCTCTCCAGGATACTGCGTCTCTCTGTCCATGTGGAAAGGAAACATTTTGTCCCAAGCCCTATCTTGGACAATTAAAAGCATTCACTTTTATCATCTAGCTTTACTTTCCCTTCAAGAGAAAGAGCTGTGCCTGCTCCATCTCCTGACTGGTTAATCGAGTCCCAGCAGTCATTTGCCATGACCTAAACTGGAAATAACAGCACTCATCAGCCACACACTGTGTGTGGTTGCCATATGATTCTCACTGCAATCTTCTTTCTGCAGAGGCGTGCTGACGCCTGGCTGGCCGATGCTCGGCAGAGGAGAGCCCGCCAGGCCTCAAGCAGGGAATCTGTAGGGTTTCGTTAGTACAAGAAACCAGTGCCCTGTGTTGATCCATTTATGAATTTCAGGTGTTGACCCACACCCGGCTTGGGAACGGCAGGTGGATGACCCCCGAAAACATCCGGGAGATGTACACTGCAGTCAAGGCCGATCCTGATGGGAATGGTAAGAGCAACTCCACAGGAATCCCTTCACCCTCAGCATGCTGGATGCTTTGCACAGCCACGCGTGGCAGAGCAAGAGCTGTGGGCCCAGGCCTGTTTCTCTATTTCTCTAGCTGTGTTCTTCAAAGGAAGATAATGCTGCTTTAGAGACCTTCACAGAAAAGTAAAATCAGTGTAAACCTCTAACTGCAGCACTCCTGCCCCTTCATCGCCAGTCTAGCAGCAGACTAGTTCCACCGCCTGGTCTTGGATCTTGCAGAAGCAGGACCAGAACACAACTTTGCGCTCCCTTTCCCCTGTCAGACCTGTCTTGCTTCGTGCCCAGCTGTAACAGGACTTTCAGGGTGCACTTCTTCTCCCTCACGTGGGCTGAGAGACTGCTCTGGCTCTGACTACGTAGCTCTTGTTACCTGGGCTGCAGGGGTGCACCCTGCACTCCCCTCCTCTGTTTTCAGGGAGACTTCTGCAGCAGGCTGGGAGCGCTGCCTCACTGGGAGGGAAGGGCGGAATAAGTGGAGGTGAGGGTAGTCTTGTCAGTCAGCCTATGTTGCTGACCCCCCCTCTCTGCCACTGCAAACTCTCTGTATTCCATGAGGCCACTTCTGCCCCTCCTGCCCCCGGTCTCCCAAGGGCTCCCGCTGGTCCGGACGTACGCTCTAACCTCTGCTGCTCTAATTAGAGTGGCCTCAATTAAGCAACTCTCCATTTCCTAATCAAATTAAGTGAACACACAGGCTCTGCACGCTCTTTTCCAGTGACCTGGCGTTGAGAGCTGCCTAGGAGGAGTTGCTTTGGAGTTGAAGCAGTACCCATGTGAATGTCTAAATATCCGGAGGGCACCCTGTGCCCCGCTCCTCCGGGCTGGTGGCATTCTTGGCAGGGGTAGGAGCGTATGACTGAGTCCTTGGTGGCTTTTCCACCATTCCGGACATTAACAAATGAAAGGTCCTGTTAAAGTGCTCTTGGCAGGACCTTGCTTCCAGGGTGCAGCTTCCCTCTGTTGTTAGATTGGTACGTGACACCAAGAGACCGGGTCACAACCTGGATGTGGCACTGCGTCATCAAAGACTGCGTGGAGTAAGGGGAAGTGGGGACAGGGAGACGCTAGAAATAATAATGGTCTGGATCATTTGGTCACGACCACTGGCACCTGCAGAACTGTCTCAGGCTGACCCTGGTGGCTGGTCCTTCCTCCTGCTGGAGGGTGCCCTGTGCCCGGGGAGCAGAGCTGGCACCGCAGCGGCACTGGGTTTGCTGCCTGAGCGAGCTCCACTTGCAGCCCACGATGCGAGCTGGCTGCCAGGCAGCCCAGCGCACTGCTCCGCACACTCTGGTCCCAGGAACCTGGTCCCCAGTGCAAGGCTTCCTTCTTTTCCAGAAAGGGAAAACAACAAATGTGAGGATTTTTCTGAAGGTGACAAAGGCAAAAGTCCATCCGTTGCCAAGTCCAGCTGAGTGCAGACAAGAAATACCTGTTTGAGTAGAAACCACTTTTTACCTCTTGCTTTTCTGTTATTTCTACTTACTCAAGATCATGCTCTGTTGTATTTCTCACTCATGTTTTCTAATTACACAAATGTAGAAGAACGTACTGCTTGGTTTGGGTTTGGCTTTTTTAAATTACCATGCAGGGTCTTGTAGAAAATGTGGTCTGAGGTGTCCCACTCTGCTCTTAAATGTGCCTATTTAAATAAGTAACAAGCCCCAAGGCATCAGGTGATGCAGGCTTTTTAGCTGTGGCATTGCATATGTTAGAACCATAGTGGCTATTTCTCTCTTTTGATGGATTGTTTTGTGTGTTTTAGGAGCTTTTGCAAGTTCAAAATGGTATTTTGCCTGTCCCAGTTCTGACCCTGCATGGCAGCTAATGGGTTCACTTTTGCAGGTTGCTGTATGCCCTCTGTTCAGCTAAAGGCGAGAGCGTTGCTGGGATCTGTAATGCTGCACATACAGGTTGCAGCCCGTGGTGAGCGCAGTGGTGGACCCTGAATGGGGTTTGTTCAAGGCAGGCAGTTTTTGCAGTGCCCTCAGCTGGTGGTTTCTCCGAGTACAGGACGCCAAGAGCTATTACCTGCACCAGAGTCAGCCAGCTTTTCCTCTCTTCCCGTAGGTGTGCTGAGTCTGGAGGAGTTCAAACAATTGAATATCCGTGATTTCCACAAGTACATGGGAAGCCAGAAAGTGAAGATGAGTGACTTGGTGCGCAACAGCCAGCACACCTGGCTGTACCAGGGCGAGGGGGCACACCAGGTCATGAGAGCCATACGGCAAAGGTAAGGGCCAGGCAGCTGAGGGACGGCTGGGTTTGTGTAGGCACGAGGACCACCTGTGCTGGGAGAGGCAGTGGCAGACTTGCTAATAGTCACACTTCCGAATTGCGTGGAAGTCTTTGGAGTATAAAGAGCAATGAACACAGACACAAAATGGGGAGAGGAGGTTTTCATTAGAACAAGAATTTGTATTGTCCCGTGGAAAAGGAGAAAGAAAAATCAAACCTTTCAGTGTCTCCATTCACTTTTGGGAACAGCCCTATAAAACCAAGAAGACTTGGCATTATATGAAATAATTCATTCTAATTAGTAAATGAGCTTACTGGGAGAAACTGCCCGTTTCCAATGCTGTCTGGGTGCCAGTAGTTACTGTCATTTGCTTTAGTTACTCATGCATTTCACTGAAATCTCTTAGCTGTTCAGAGCTGACTTTTTAACAAGCACAACTTCACCTCAAGTAAGCTGAGTTAGTTTAATCCTCCAAGCACTCATATCGCAGGGCAGATGGGAGAAACTCTTACCCTTCCCTTCGTCTCAGATTTGGTACTGGGAAGTGTTGAAACCCAGCACGCAGGCCAAATCGTTTAGCTGTGGTGAGTTATAATTGGCTGGAGACTCTCTTGTTCTTGTGGTGCTGGTCCTCGCCCAGAACATGGATGGGTAAAATCTGTCCCAAGGCTTGAAAACGGCTTTTGGCCACTCCTTTTCTTCAGTGCATTCCAGCGGGAGAATGTGGTCGCATATTGCCTTGATTAGAGCAGACTGTAGCTGCTACCTTCCCTGTGCCAGCTAGCCAGCATGCACAGGCATTGGCATACTGCTTTTACGCTCTTCATTTGGCCACTGTTACGAGGACGTGAAGACGTAGTGCTGAAGGAGGTTGTTACAGTCCTCCCTGGGACTGTGCGGTGCCTGGAGGGGCTTTGCCATCCTGCCTGGGTGCCATGTTCCCCTCGCGTCTGCCTGGAGGGCTTCACAGGTCCAAATTCTCAGAGCTCTGAGTGTTCTTTGGCAGGTCTCAAGAGGTACCTGCTTGCCTTGGGGATGATCTCAGATGTAGCAGCGGAAAAATCCCAGAGCAGGAGGGCTCCGGTCTCGTTGATCACTTCCCGTGCCCCTCTGCCCTGGGGGGAGGCTGCTGAAAAGGCAACACAGGGAAAGGTGAGTTAGGTGACAAGAATATTCCTAGAGCTAGTCTCTCGTTCACTCTCAGCAGGGGCCCGGTGCTTTGCTAACTGTCCCCAAGGTCTGTAGGTGGTGTGCAGGAGTCCAGAGAAGCCATGAGATGGCACGTGAAGGCTCCAGGGACACACACGGAAGGGATCTTGCTGAGCAAGCAAAGTCTTCCTGAGAGCAGTCCTGCTGGAGATGCACCCTTCGATTTTGGGGTTTTTTTATTAACCTTGACGAGGACTTTCTGAGCTGATGCTGATGGTCCAACAGATCTGTAAGGACCTAGTTATCTCTTGGCATGCTTGCTGCAGCCCATCCGTCTCTCCGGTCTGTTGGGGAAGGGGGTTTTCTTTCTCTGGATGTATTCGGTGCTTGGGAGTAGCGGGCAACCGGGGTGATGGTGCTTTCCCCTCACCTGCTCTGCTCTCCTCTTCCCCAGGGTAATGCGCCTGACTCGCTTGCCCCCTGAGATTGTGGAGCACAGCGAGCCCCTCCAGGTTGTGCGGTACGACCAAGGAGGGCACTACCATGCCCACATGGACAGTGGCCCCGTCTTCCCTGAGACTGCATGCAGCCACACCAAGCTAGTCGCCAATGAAAGCGCTCCCTTTGAGACCTCGTGCCGGTAAGGTCTGCTTTGGCACAATCTGGAACACGTTAGAGAAGCGGTGCAGAGAGCCATTTCTCCTCACCTGGCGTGGGACTCGGTGCTCAGGCTGTGGGCTCACAAACTGGCTCTGGAGATTGTTGGCATGAAAGGTCTGAAGAGGGAGGTGGGTGAATCCTGCAAGTCCCCAGAGCCGGTGCGAGGAGGAAGGCAGAGTGATTCTGCAGAGTGGCTGGGCCATCCCCACCAAAGGCTAGAAATGCACCCTCAGAGGCTAATTCCCCACCCGTTGCGGATGGGGATTTTCTTTGTCATCTGTGTGTTGTCCTTGGAGAAAAGCTGATGATGTAAATCACATATATTGTGATGTCTTGGAAGAACTGCTGTATGTATGGTGGAGGGGCAGGGTGCGGACAGCCCCTGTGCGTCGTCTCCTATTCCATATGTGTCCCCTGACAGCCGCTCTGTCTTGCAGGTATGTGACAGTGCTGTTCTACCTGAACAACGTGACTGGGGGAGGCGAAACAGTCTTTCCTATAGCTGATAACAGGACGTACGAAGAGATGGTAAATGAGTCTCACCTACGTGTTACCCCTAGGGATTTTGAGTCCCTCTTTGAATGTCTTTATTTGCTGTGGCTGCAGAAGAGGTCCGGTGCGTGGGGTTGGTGGACGTTAGCCTTCGTAGCTAGAACATGGGGAAACTGTGTCCCCCTGAGGCCAAGGGAAGAGGCGCAGGGCTTTGACAGCTGCACCTCTCCCCCCTCAGAGGCGTGAGGGGCGGTCTGTTGGCCTTGCTGCCATAACACGGGTCCTGCTCGCTTCTGTCTGGGCAGGTTTCCTCAGACTAAGTCTTGGCACATATGTCCTGTCAGGCAACGTGTTAAGGAATGGGCAGCTGCTCAGAAACAGGTCATGGACCTCCGGGGGATGAAACTGGCTGCTCCGGGTGGGTTGTGAAAGCCCTGTCCTGCCCAGCATCAGCCTTGAGCTGTCCCCGTGGGGTGTTCAGGCAAAGGGCAGGATGATGGCTGGCAGCAGAGGCAGCCCAGTGCATGCACTTCATTCCAGCACCATTTGCAACACCTTCTCTGTGGTTTCTTGCCAGTCTTTGATCCAGAACGACGTTGACCTGCGAGATACTCGGAAAAACTGTGACAAGGGCAATTTGCGAGTGAAACCTCAGCAAGGCACTGCTGTCTTCTGGTACAACTACCTGTCAGACGGAGAAGGTACAGTCCCATTTCAGGACTCGGCTCTTGGGAGGGGTAGGACTGCAGGAGGTGACAGCCGTCGTCTTCTTGTGGCGTCTGGGAGCTCTGAAGAGAGCCAAAGGGTGGTAGCTGCCTGCTAGTGGGAACTGTAGAGTCTGCTTGTCACCAGCTGGGTAGGAGCTTCCTGACCCTGAAAGGCCTTTGTTCACAGGCAGTAGGTCAGTGGCTCCTGATGTCTTTGGGGAACGGGACTAGCTAGCAAACAAAGACCTTGGCTGCACTAGCCATTGCCAGCTGCCTTCCATCCTGCTGTGCGAGCTGAAACTCCTGCTGGAACTTGGTCTGCAATTCAAAATGTTTCACTGATGTGGTGTTGCCCAAAGGGGTGGGGAGGGGAGGTAGACAAAGGCACGGCCATCAGCTCTGCAGCACAGGGAGGCATGGCCCAACTCCTGCTTTATAGCTCAGCCGCAGCCTGATATGTGTCCTTGGGGCTGCTTTTCTCACGAAGCACAGCGTGGTTTTCCCTGCCAGCCAGGCTGGGGGATTGACATGAATCTTCCAGGCTGCTGGTGAGTATGACTCCAGAGTGTTTCGATGGTAGATTTTGCGCGGTGGTGGGAGGAAGGAGTTATAGCATCCCAGCTCCCCTGGGAGCAGCTCGTGTTTCCATCTCTAGAAAATCTGTAGAGGAGTTCACAAGACCAGCATTCAGGCTGTTGGATGATAATATCGAGACCATCACTCTCCTCTAAGAGGAGCCCCGTTGTGTTTTTATGAGCAAACTATTCCTAAATGGAAGGCGGCTGCTGATGCAAGTCTGCCACAGAAAAACCAGGGGCCTTCTAGCGGCAGCACCCAGCTCTTGCATGCCAGCCTCCCCTTTTGGGAAGAGCTGAGAGAAACAGCAGCAGTGATGCAGAATGGGAGAGCCCCTCGTGCTGCATGGAGACGCGGAGGCAACGAGCATTTTGCACTTGGTGGGCCTGCCCTGGTGAGCTCCTCATAGGTGCTAGGGTGGGGCAGTGCTAAGATGGAGGGGTGCCAGGCGCCCAATCCTCTAAGATGTGTCTGAGCTAAAAT